AAATACATTCCATTGAACCCAGCACGATTCACTGAGCTCAATTGCCCAAAAATCCCTGCAGCAATTTAGATAATCTGGCAACCAACCATCTTACAAAAAAAAAAAAAAAGTAATTGCCCAAAAATCTCTCACAACAACCTGTAATTTGGATAATCTTTTGGCAAACAATCATATAAACAAAAAAAAAAAAAAGTGGAGCTGGGTTCTGGGTTCGGTTGAACCCAGCAAATCTGGGTTCGATGGAACCCATCCATTGAACCCAGATCTGCTGGGTTCGGTGGAACCCAGCACAATAACTCGAGGAAGAAGAGGAAGAAAGAAGAGGAAGGAAAAAAAAGAAAAAGAGAAAGGAAGAAGATGAACGTGAGTTTTTTTATTTTATTTTTTAAAAATATAAATAGTAATAATGTGAGTTGGTATAAAAAAAAATCCACACCAACACGTTTTCAATTTGTTTTTGCCACGTTATCAAAAAAATTATAAAAAATGCCACATAAGCGAGTAAACGATTGAAATTAACAGAAAGACTAACAAAGTGCATTTCGTATAGTTGAGGGATAAAAAAAGTGCAAAAAATTATTGAGGGACCAAAAATGTTCATTTCATAAAGTTGAGGGACCAATTAAGCATTTAACCTTTAATGTTCTATGTGATTTGTTAAATGAAAATGTAGCCAGCCTAAAGGTTTTAGTTGCAGCTTTCATTTAAGTTTCAGGACTGATATACATAGTCTAAAGGTATGATGGGTATCTGAATTTAGTATATTTTGTCATTTGAAAATTTTGTTACTGTTATAGGAATAAATATGGATATGAGAAGTTTAACCTTTTCCTATCTTAACGAGATTTTCCTTATGGTTTTGTTTTTTAAACATCTATGCAACCTTAAATTTGTATTCTTTATCATCTCTGGTAAAATGGTCTTCTCTGTAGATGATGGTTGATGGTTGAATTAGTAAAATATATAGGAATCTTTCTTTTATGTTCATACTGCCACCTGAAAATTAGATTTTTAATTTTTCCTTAGCTTCTGGCATGTGGAAAATGATTGATTTTATTCAAATAAGATTGCAACTTGATTGGAAGTTTGATTTTTTTTCACGGCTTGTTTTGTCCTACTCTCCAAGTTGGGAGTTTTGAGTTGTGCTGAATCATTTTCTGGTGCCTAAAAGTCAGCTTATGAGTGTTATCTTTGGTTTCAACTGTAACCGACCAACACAGCATTCCAGGCACACCTCTTGAGTGCATAATGATGCTTCAATTTTCTCCCCAATCAATTACACCCGTCCGCATAAAAATGCTGTTACGTGGACTAACAATTAAAGTTCCTTTGTTGAAATCGCTTCCCCTCATCTCTTTTCACTATCCGTCACTATTGCTTTGAATGCTAGTCACCCACTAAATTGGTGATATATCTCACTCCGGACTACTTTTATTTTTATTACATTGAACCATAGACTATAAAAGGAAAAAAATCTTCTCCTTTCCATAATTCTTCTCTTTCTACTTGTGTCAAAGTTCACTTTTAATCACATTTACTTGACTTAATTTTTGTATAAGAAAAAACATAAAAAAATATTGTAACTATTGATTCTTTTTATATTTTTTATGTTGAATTAGGGATAATATAATAAAAAACTAACTTTTTAAAGATAAAATCTTCAAATTCATCATTTACATAAAGGATAGAGATAGATTCATCTTTAAAAAAATATAAAAATAAATTATTTTTTTAAATTATGAATTAAGGCAAATAACTTATTTTTTAACTATAATGTTAAAATTTTGTTTGTCATTTAAGTATTTTAAAAGGAAAGTTAACATTTTAAATTAAAAAATGAATAATTTTTCTTGATTTATAATTTAAAAAATAATTTATTTTTATATTTTTTAAAAAAATAGATCTATCCATACCCTTATTTGAAAAGTAAATTTAAGGGTTTAATTTTTTTTCTTATAAAATTTTTTATTTATCTCAAAATTTAAATTTAAAATACCTTTAATACGAGGACTGAACTTTAACACTCCTTACTCTTCGTCGCAATTGATGGAGGTAAGAAGAATAGACGACAGATATTTAATCATGCTCGGCGGTGGGGTTGGCTAAGTTCAGTATTTTTTTCCACTACAACACTCCTGGCCCTCCATGTTAAGACCAAACTGGAACCGTCCACCTTTGACTCGATCAACGTAAGATATACGTCCACTGTTTCTCCCCCACGTTGCCAACCCAAAGTTTGCTTTCCTCTTCGGGCTACATCACCGGTCCCCCACCCCCCACGCCGGCCCACCCCCCCCAAGAGAAAAGTTTATCGCGTGTTATCAACGCGCCTTAAAACGACGTTTCCCCCTACCTGTAACAAATCCGTCGCTGTTCACCACGCGCGACAAAACGTAAACGTACCTTTCCCAACTTTCAAAGGGCAGGTAAGATGAAGATGTGGCCGTAGCTCAAATATCCAATTATTAAGGCGGAAAAATCTAAATGTGGACAGAAAATGTCGCCTTCCAAATTTGACATGCACGTGAATGTGACTGAAACCGTCTTTGCCTTAAGAAAATGAATTTCTTAACGCCAGTAGATTTTATTTACTTTAATTATTACAATAATTGATAATTTACTTATTCAATTGAGTGGTTGAATGATGATTATCCTTTATTAGGGACTTGTTATATAAATTTGAAGTTGAGAGATTTAAGTTCTTTTCATTTAATTTTAATAGAATTAATTTTATTTTTTAATTTTTTAAATATAAATTTTAGATAAAATTTAAT